CAAGAAACCTCACAGGGTTCAGTTCAGCCACAAGAACCAACCGAAGCAGCAGAAGGCCACACTGGAAAGAAAGAAACCGGTTCCGCTGCCTCTCACGTTTGCCTTCCTTCTCGGTGTTGCGGCCCACCCGCACCGACGCCCCACGGTTCGCGACGCCGATTAGAACACGAAAGATCGTTAGCATATATAGATGCATGCATTCTGCTTGCATATATAGATGCTCATTCACCAAGAATCCAAGATTGTATCAAGGGATCTTTCGGGTACATTAATTAAATTTAACCCTGATACTTGTAGCTAGGAGTGCCATTGGTTATAGTTTATTTCATGCCTAACCTTGCCACGGCTAAGCTTAGTCAAGTCATAAAGTGTAATGAGTCACACTTCTTGTGGCGGAGAATTTGGACTCCACAAAAGTGAGGTGTAACGCGCCACACTTTTTGTGACGAAAACTTTAGACTCCACAATAGTGAGAAGTTGTGGCTATAAAATAAATCTACTACATGTGAGACGGTGCTAAGAAAACATGACAGCTGAAGTGGTCAAACAGTGGCAATGAATCAAAGACTAAAGATTGCTCGGCGAGTTTGCCCATGAGCCCATGAACCAAACAAGTCCATTATGGGGCTGCAAAACTCTTATCCAATTATTTTACTTATAGAAAACGAAGAGAGAGCATCCAACCGTGCAGCCCAGATGTTAAATGACTACTAGAATTGCTCAAAAAGAGTTGACCACTACTCCCTCCAATCCAAATTATAGTTTATTTTGCTTTTTTTAAGTCAAACTTCTCTACCGCTACAAATAGTTATGCATGCATAGGTTCATGCAGCGGGCAAGGTGATTGATGGCAGCGGTGACCACAGTGCGGTCTACTACACCACAAAGACCGCCATGCATGCACTCACCTGCGAATCGGTCGGCTTGAGGCGGACGGACCATGCACCTCGGGCGACATGCGTGGGACTCGGGAGCAGCGTCGTGCCGTGCTGTGCATGGGTGGGTGTCCATCTTTGGATCTGATTCGGATCGTGCAGTAGAAAATCGAGTGCTCACCGCTTGAAAAACACTCGAGTACGGTATAGTTTTACCAAAAAAAAGGTAAAAAAGATGTGGGTATCAAGGTGTGGTATAGATAGACAACAGAGCAAAGCAAAGGGAGCCATGCCTGAACAGAGGTCACTGGCATCCTCATGGTTCAGATAATTCTAAAAAGATGTTGCAATTTCACTTCATACAAAGGTTGGCGCATATTGTGGACAAGGAAAGGAAACAAGAACACCTAGGAAAAGTTAGCCTTGGGTAGCAGGGAGTGCTTAGAAAAGCCTGAGTGGATGTCAAGTCCCAAGCACTGTGCCCAGCTCGACCACACTACGCACGTCGGGTCATTGTCACCGCGTGCCCTGCGGACACCATCGGTGTCGGGCCCGTTAGCACCTTGTCCTCGCATGACCACGACATCATGCTGCACTCGCCGTCCTCGTGCACTGTGCGCCTCTACTTTTCCTGTCCTCCGGTCCGCTTTTGATACTCGCCCTCGTCCCCGTACCGGACCCCCCTCCCTTCTTTCTTCTTTTGGGGACAAGGCCGCCTGCACGCCTCCCTCATCGAGCGAACCCTCTCTCCTCTCCTTTATCCCCCCCCCGCTCGCTTGCGCAGGAAGCACACCATGGCCGGCTGTATCTCCACGGCGTGAACCAGCAGTGTATCCCATCCATGCCGTCTCCACTTTCGGTGCGCTACGCCCTATCTACGTTCGCCACTATAAGATGCCCTTGGTCCTTCCTCTTCTCCTTCATCCTCGTCCCTCTCAAATCCGAAGCAGAACTAAGAGATCCAGTCGTCATTGTGGAACTAGGTTCGTCTGACAGAGGTAATGGTGTAATCTAAGAAGAAGGGATTTGGTTTTCAAAGAAGTTCAAGTCTACCGTTGGTTAGTTTGGTCTTAGGGTTAACGATGTTTTACTTCTCAGTCTCCTGTTTCTGGATCTGTTGGTCATACGCAATGTTTTGGATAATCATTATCTTGTTGTTTCTCCATTGCCCTCTTCTATCCCGACTTCTGGACTAAACCTTGGTTGTACTAGGTTGCTCTTAACCATGTAACTTTAAATTCCGGTGTAATTTAGTGTTCGACGCCGTGTAATCTTTCGTGTGATTCCAGTTTTATGAAATGTGTTGTAGTTTCGCCTAAGGGGAGTGGATCCTAATTCACTCTTTTGTAAACCCTCACGTTAAGAGACATACTTGTGTTGTAGTTTTTGCTCTTTCCACCTATAATGCAATCTTAGCCAATGTTGTGCTTTGAATCTAAGTGTCTTAGTTGCTTGAGCCCAACTCCACCAAATACTTCTTTCCACTAACATGTCATTGATTTGCTGGCCTACAATAGGCACCATGTAATGACAACTAACATCTATGTTCGTTTACAACATTGTAATGAAAAAAGCCATGTTACCTTTCCTTCCCATATTTACCTGTTTAATGTACCAAATAGACCAACCTTTCATACCAACATGATGAGAAAACATATTAGACATATGAGCCACCTATACCAAGCACATCACCCGCAACGAAGCGCGGGCAGCAATGGCTAGTACCTATGAAAGACATGTCGAAAGTACTCAGAACATATAGAAGCACCACAAAACACAAAGGCAACTAAATATTACTGAAGCTTTTCAGTTTTCACCTCTAGGCCACACTACTAATCTCTCCAAAGGCAGCCACCTGCAGCCACAAACTACAAACATAGTCAAAAATATAAAGATAGGTTCATGCATATGCACTGGACAGAACCAAGCTCCCAGTTCAGCATATAACAGTAGGAAAAATCTATCCAAGAACATCATGAAACTACAATATACCAAAATTACATCTATTTAAATATTTAAGTATTTATCCAAATCAGTACGGTGTACAGAGCACCTTAAGACTTCGGGAAAAAAATAAATGGTACAACCATAAGTTGGAATAGGAATCATGGGTCACAAACTCTATATACTATTGGACACATATTTTTTGCGCAACAAATTCAACCAAATAGCGTACTAGATTTATTCAACAATGAGTTGGGATAGGAACTGTATCCCATCAGTTAGTTCAGTACAACCATGACTTTATTAATAATCTGTTAGCAAACTCAGCACAAGTTTGGAAATCTGGTGTACCACCTATTGGAGCACGGAAGCCCCTTTAAGCCATCCATGATCATAACTAAATTTGTTGGCCGGCTGATAGTGACCAGCAGGTGCTCCTAACAAATAAGCATAGCCAACTACATGAAGTAGCAATTTGATAGACAAAAAACTAAAGACTACTGGACATGAGAACTGTGAACTGAACTGAAGCAAGCAGAAGGAACTGAAGGCATCAACGCACCACTTATCAGTAGCTTAGGAATACCAAAAGCCTTAGTCTTATAGTCCCTGTTCGAGCACGACCAATAGTGTCTTTTCCTTGCATTGCTGGCTCAAGGAGGGTCTCTGGACAACAAAATAGCAAGAACCAAATTAGAATGGTTACAGGCATCAATATTAGCTAACCTTCTCCACACCATATAAATAAGTAGGCTCAAATGCTTTACCAATTGGAGTCAACAGAAAAGTGATGCAGTAATATAATGTTTTTCCTATGAGCTGCCATACTAACTATAAACTAACACTACTGATGTCTGAACTTTTGTTAGTCAACAAATTTATAAGCTAGATCTAACCATAAATTTAGTGAACAAATTTATGCTGCAAGAACTCATAGACAGTGGCCCCAAAAAAAAACTACTACAGCAAAAATCCTTAGATGCTTTCCCAATCCAAAAAAATGAATTGAAAGCGGAGATATATGAATCTAACTTATTAGGTATGATACTATATGACCTCAACTGCACATAATTCATTTGCTTAGAAGGTCATAATGCACACTGTAAAACACCTGATGGCATGCTCAAAAGTACCAAGTTACTGGTGATACAAAATAGTGAACACTTTTTTGTAAACAGGATATTGCATTAGCTGCCAAACAAAATATTGCGCTTGTTTTATGAAAATCCAAAATCTGAAATGTACAGTAACCAAAAATCAGGTATGTCTAGCATCTGTGAAAACAAAACACGGAGAACAATTAAATTCATAAACTGAACATATTATAGATAAGGTAGGGCAAGGAATTAAGCAGAAGAGAGATGTGCTACAGTCATGGCAAAAGAAAAAGAAGAGAGGGTACAGTAACCAAATAAGAAAGAAACCTCCAGATTTATGCAAAGAGGCTTCAGCTTTCTGAACATCCTATACTATCATAATCGCTTCAAAACCAATTCTCTTAGCAAAAGCAAACTGCATACAGAGTAAATAACAAATCTAAATCAGGCAGGTTGCAATGACAGAGCCAATCAAGGGTATATCACATTATTGAATTGACTGTTTTCATATATGCTTTAGCTCAGTTCTGAATATAATTAGTATAGCTTAGGATGCTGCAAGATTAAACATGTCATTGCTCATGCATCTCACGAACTGCATCTTGAAATAGAGAAAAATAAAAATTGCATCTAACTTTGTGTAAACCTAATAGGATGTGTGATGAGAGAAAATTTGGTATATTAGTTACATGCCATGAGAAGCGATCTCACTTACCAGAGATGAGGTACTAGTTAACACTACATGCAACCTTTTGCAGATTAATTCCATCACCTATGTCACAACTAACAAGTATATCTCAAATGCCCCATGAGTTGCTATTTTCCATTAGACGTTCAATGTCTGAATTTGCTTTCCAACTCCGCGAATCATGAAACAGAGCAATTTGAGCCATACACAAAAGGACAACTTATACGAAGGAAAAGGAGACCAGGTAATAATTGGGAGATAAGGGATATAACATGAGTGGCAGTAGCTAAACACGGAAATCAGAATCTAAACATACACGAGAAGTCAGAGTCAACGTCGACCTAAATGAGCATATAAACAATTGACACCACAGACTTTGTCAGGCAAACAGTCAAATCAGGAGAGGCACCTATCATCGCCAAACCGGTCTGCTTGCAGATGCGCTCGAAGCGCTCCCCACCTGAGCAAGTGGCGGTTGATGATCTCCCATAGCACGTTCTCGTCGATCTGCATTGCCATCACATGAGCACGCGATACTGTAGCTGCCATGTTTGGAGAGGAAGGGAAAGCTGCCAAGTTGGAGTTCAGTTCCTGCATATCTTGTCGCAAGAACCCTGTAGCTGCCGACTTCCTCTCCATCTTCCGCTCCCCTCGCCGTGGCTGGACCAGTACCCGGCCTCATCGCCGTCCTCGAGGCGCCACCAGCCCCTCCCTAGCAGCACGTTGTGTAGATGCTCGATAAACTCCCCCACGAAGGGGGCGTTCGTGGTGGATCTGCACCTCACCTCGCCGGAAGTAGAGAAGGAAGAGAGGGCAAGGGGGTCGACGTCGGGGCCTCAGGCGCGGATGGCGCTGGCCGCTGGGGGAGGGCTGCAGCAGCGGAGGGGGCTGGGGCTGGGTCGGCGGCGGTGTGGTTTGCAGGGCCGGTTTGCAGTGGTGGGTGGATGGAGTGCGGTGGGTGGGTCTTGCGTGATGTGAACGGACGAAGGAGGTGGATTTGGGGCCGGTATAAGGAAGGCGGTGGAGAAAATTTTCGAGCGCGCGCTGGTGGGTGGAGACGCGCGCAGCATGGCGGGAGACAAATAAAAAATCGGCGGCGGTTTTTCTTCGTATTACAGGACACCTGAAAATATGCACTTTTTCTTTAGATTATTTTGCCATCTAAGATTGCATTAAAATTTTGAATATTAACATGTGACAACTTCAAATAGACTTTGGGGATCGTAAATAATTTCTAAAAAATCACCATCCCCAAAGTTATAGATTTCACCAAGATCTACAAGTTTGCTTCTCTTTGCTTTTCATCCGAGGTAATTTAAAAATTTTGAATTTTAGAATGTGAGAATTTTAAATATAATTTTAGAACCATAAATTTAAATGAAAAATTCATCAACTACAACGTTACTGATCTCAATTTTGGTTTTTCTCATCGGAGCGCAAGCATCTAGAGCATGCAGTGAATTAAATTTTATTAGAATCATATTATAGACACACATCTCTTTTATATTGGTCCGAGATCACATTCCAACATGTGGATCTCTAAACTTGGTCAACGCTGTCATCTCAGTTCATAAACTTCTAAGCTAATCACCAACAGTCTCTAAACTTGGATAGCAGTGACATTCTGAACCCGAGACATGGTTTTGAGTCTCATCTGGGCCCAACCGAGACCTATCCACTCTATACGCTGATGTGGCACGCTAACTATGTGTTGGAAGTGGACTCAACGTGTGGAACATATCTATATTTTAGTTTTTTTAATGAGTTCACCGCCGGTCCCTAAACCGGCGGCAGTGTCGTCACGGTCCACGAACTAACATATAGGTCCCACATGTAAAAAATGAGGAACAGAGAGGAGAGGTGGACCGCACACTCTGGTAACTTTGTTACTCAATCTGGTTTAAATTATAAGATACTTTTGATATTTTTAGATACATTAATTTTAGTATGGATCTACACATAGTGTATATCTAAATATATAGCAAAAAACTATGTATCTAGAAAAGCCAAAATAATTTATAATTTATAATTGAGAGAGTACTTTACATTTTCCATAATTTAACAATCCCCAAATCTTCTTTGAATTATTTTGAAATTTCACGGTGGATCAAAATTCATCTTCATAACGTTTCAAAAAGGTTTTTACCAAGAAATTGTAACTAAGGTAGCCATATGCTTGGTTTGACCTCCAACTGAAATGTAACCTTCATTTTCAAAACATTTCATCTTTATTATTTTCATATAAGAATTATAACCTTTTATTTTCATATAGAATTTGTAACCTTTATTTCATATATATTTAAATAACTTTAATATTTTTTGCAATAAGGTACCTTTTTCAGGAATTAAATGTAATTAGGTCGTGTTATTGAAATTACTACACATTTTGAACTACTCCCTTTATTTGAATAATATATTATTCTGGCTTTTCTAGATACATAGCAAAGGTATGTATCTAAACATAGTGTATACCTAGAGACATAGAAAAAGATATGTATCTGGAAAATCTAGAGCTACTTATAGTTTGGAATGGAGGAAGTACATGTGTGAGAAAAAAATTAAGCCACAAACAATTATATGTATGAGTACACATGCCTTTCAAATCATGTTGTTAGCGAAAATGTGCCAACAAAAGGTAACAAACTCCACCATCAAGGTAACAAGACTATCTCATCGCGCCGTGCTCATTCTCCCGTCAACTATGGTGGAACATCCTATCTGCGCTCGGTGCCAATGCCTCGTAGGTTGGCGGGTTTTCCATCCTAACTTGGTGGAGATGGAGGCAGCGATGGAGCAGCGACAAACAAAAGGGAGCCGAGTCCCTATTCACACTCGTTACCTGGGAGATATGAAACGAGCGAAAGAATAGGTGTTTCCGTGACGCCTCGGCAACTATAGTGCAGCTCCTAACTGTGATCCGACACTTCGTAAATCTGTGGATCGACACAGGGGCACGCCACCTAGGTTGTTTAGTGCATGAGGCCTTCGAATTGTACTCTAGTGATGAAAGAGCTCACTATAACACTTCATGTCTTCCTTAGTGCACCGGAGGTGTGGCGCGTTGTTGTAACTCTCAAAACTTCTCGACCTTAATACAAAGATGCGCAAACCTTTTGTATATTCGAGCAAAAAAAACCAGCAAGTTCCTGTCGTCAAGACATTTAATAAATATATTTAGAACATTAAAATTAGAGTTCGCGTGAGAAAAGAGAAAATTAGGCTTAATTTGCCAAAACCAGCTAAGCTTACAGATTGCAATTTGGAGATATTTCCTATTAGGATCAAACATTCAAACCACCCCTCTATCATGGGTTTTTCATTTGTTAATTTTCCATAATTTTTTATCAGTTGTATAGAAATATAGTAATTGGTTGTTGACAATCGTCTAGTGTGCAATTTTGACGAAATTTCATATTTTCGTTGGGCACCGAAATACCGATCAAAATTTCAACCTTTTTTTTTGAGCGAAGATCAAAATTTCAACTAAATTTGCCCGGCTGCACACCACACACTCGGCGCCCAAGCGCCCTGAAACTTAAATTTCCGCCGGCCAACCCACCATACAACCCCCACCAAACCCTAAAATCTCATTTCCAATTTTCCCCAAATCTCCAACACCGCCGCCAGCTCCAGGCCACTCCGCCTGCCGCGCGCGTCGCACCGTGCCGCAGCCCCACGTTGCTGCCTCCCGTCGACGCCGGGTCGGCGTCCCGCATCCCGCTAGCGCCGCACGACACCGACCAGCCGCTACCGCCGCCAGCTCCAGGCCAGCCCGCCTCCCGTGCGCGCGTCATGCCGTGCCGCAGCCGGGTGCAGCTCCAGCCCCACGTATCCACCTCCCGTCAACGCGGGGTCGGTCTGTTGGTTCGACATGCTGTGGAGAGTGGCGAGGCTGGAGGGACCGCGGTGACCAAGGCGGTGGTGCCATAGCGATGAGGTGGTGGCGAGGTTGCAGTGGTGTGCTGGCATGGAGGGGAAGGTGTAGAGGTCGCCACCACAATTGCAGCGAAGAGTCATACGCCCCGTCTGTTGGTCCTTGACAGAAAAACCGAAAGCGTCAAATTCAATAGAACAATTATTGTCATGTGTGAATTGACGAACGGAAAGAAGATTGCGCACGAGGGCCGGCGCAACCAGAACGTTAGTGAGACGAAAAGTAGAATTGGGAGAAGACAGTGTGGAGGTGCCACGACATGTGATAGGAATGGTGCTGCCATTGCCAACCGTGATGCTAGAGGCAGGAGGAGGAAGACGGGACAGAAGTATACCATCCGAGAGCGTCATGTGAGTTGTGGCGCCGGTGTCGAGGACCCAGGGGTTGGACCCCTGGAGTGACATCTGGTTTAGGGCAGCGACGAGGCCGGCCTGATCCCAGCCGCCGGTCTACTGCAAAGGAGGAGGGGCCACACAGTTGGAGAACTAGGCGGGGGCAAAGGCGGTATGGGCCTGAGGATGGGCGCCGAGGACGCCGGGGCCGCGCCAGGCCGGGTTCGTCGCCAGCGGATGCCACTGCTGCTGTTGCACCCCCGCTGTCCAGGGAGCGTAGCAGAACTAGGGGCCGGCGGGCGGTGTGTGTGCCCGTGGCCCACCCCCAGACTGGGGACCATTGCCGTCGCCCCGTCCCTTCTTCCTGTATCGACTGCTGCCGCCGCCGCTGCTACTGCGTCTACCGTAGCCGCCGCCGCCGTGGCCACCCTGGCGACCGGTAGAGGAGCCACCACCCACGGTGGCGGGGGTCGAGCGGCACGTGGGACCGCAGGTGGCGTTGAACGCCGTCTGAGCGGCGACCGTGCCCTCGTTGGCAAGGCGAAGCTCCTTGAGGACGAGCTTCTCGCGAGTGGTGGCGAAGTCCAGAAGCGGGTGGGAGTCGGCGATGTTGTCCGCGGTGCTGGCGAAGCGGGGATTGACGCCGCGTAGGAGGTTGAGGACGAGCTCTGGGTCGGTGATGGTACGGCCGACGTCATAGAGCGCATCGGCGGTGGCCTTCATCTGCTGGCAGTACTCGTCGATGGAGGAGTCTCCCTGAGTCATGGAGTGGAACTTGTGGCTCAGGAAGATGGCACGTGGGGCCTTGTTGGCCTCGAAGAGGCACTTGATGGCGACCAGAGCTCGCGCGTGGTCAGGTCGGGGCCACAGCAAGGCCGAGGACGTCGGGCCTGACAGTACCGAGGAGCTAGCTGCGAACACAAGAGTCCACAATGGCCGAAACAGGGTCAGTGGGCCTGGCCGCCGCCGTGCCGTCGATGTGGGGAAGGAGGCCGAATTTCCCACAGAGGGAGGTGAAGAACGGCGACCACTGGTTGAAGTTTGGGTGGTTGAGCTCTAGGGTCACCGGGACATGGGATTTGACAGAGATTGTCGCATAGGGGGCGACAAGGATGGCGGGGGAGGAGATGGAGTCCGTAGCCAGTAGGGTTCTAGAGGAGTGGGAGGCACCGGTGGTAGAGAAGGCCGCCATTGTTGGCTGGGGAAGAGATAGCCGCCGGTGGAGAAAAGGTGCGGGTGGGAGGGAGAAAAGGGAACTAGTTCTCTGATACCATGTAGAATAGAGAGAATCACCACACACCCAATGTGGGTGGGGAGCCTTTCATATATAGGGCCAATTAGGCACACATGGCAAGTACAAATATAGGAGGCTA